AAAAGGGCACAGAAGTGAGATCATCCTTCATGCAGGGTAAGCCGCACGAACAGTTACCAAATCCAACAAATATTTATTGAGTGTTGGCTATATGCAAAGAGACGTGCTAGATATGTATTGGTAAGAAAAACAAAGTATCTGTTCTGAAAGCTTTTACAGTCTAGAAGCAATAGTCTACCCCTTCCTTTATGTGCTCAGGCTAACATTTGAGACTTCAATTGTACCACCACTTACATTTTCATTGCATTAAAAAAAAAAGATTGGCTGTCTTCCTGAATAGGCTGTAAAACCTCAAAGATGTCTTATCCCTTCTTGTAAACCTCATACCTAGAATTGTGCCTAGAACTAGTAGAAACTTAATGTTCGTTGAATGATGTATGAGATAGGATGGGCTCAGCTACGGAACAGGAAGCCCAGATGACAGTGGCTTAAACAAACAGGGTTTGTATTTTAACATTTAGTGAGAAGTCTAACAGCCAGCAGCTGCTGGGGCTGATTTCTCTGTTCAACAATGTCATCCAGGACCCAGACTCTTTCCAGCCTTACACTTTGATACACTTGGCTTGTTGGCTTTTCCTCCCTGTGATTGTGCTTCATGATCATAAGACTGCTGCCACTGCTCCACATAATATATTTTTAAGGCAGGAAAAAAACAGAAGGGGCAGCAGCAGGGGGCTGTCCACTGGTAACTGTCCCTTATAGCAGGGAACAGAAACTTTCCTAGAAGACACCCAGTAGCTTATGTCTCATGGCCAAAACATGGATCACATGGCCACCTCAAGCTTCGAGCAAGGCTGGGAAAGAGAATATCGGGATTTCCAGTCTCTGTGGTTGGAGATGGCCAAGAAGGGGCTGGGGATGGTTTGGGCAGCCAACCGAAAGTTTCACCACAAATGAAGAATATGTGCTCAATAAGTACTTATTGGTGGAAGCTTAGATTTTTATGATCTGGTTCTTTATTGATTTTTAATAACATATAAAGGACCCTCATCACTGCTGTGTCTAACCAGTATTGAATGCATCTTCTGTTTGTGCTGGGAACTATGGAATTTTCTCATTCAGTCTTTGCAACCCCGTGACAGAGGTATTATCCATCTATTTTACATGTGAAGAACCTGAATCCCAGAGTAGTTAAGCAGCTTGTTCAACATGCTCACTTACCAACTAGTAAATGATGACACAGGGGTTTGAATTCCAGTGTCTTAAGTCCAGAGCCCATGATCCCATCCTAGAACCTGAGGTCTAGAGGTGAACAGAGAGCTCATCAGACACAAGCCCTTTATTTCATAGTGCTGAAGCCCAGGATGGGAGGTAACCTGCTCAAGGTCACACAGCAAGCCCAAGCCAGAGCCAGGCCCAGGACCCAGGAGTCCTGACCCCCAGGCCACGGTTCTATCACTCTGGGCTGGCTCTCTTTAGAAACCTCACGTTAGTTCACTGATCTTTAAAAAGACAAAAATGCCAAATGGGATCCTGTGGACAATTCAGTTTTTTAAAAAAATGTATTTGACCTAAGTTTTGGCAAATTAGAACAAGTTGTTTCCTTTTTTGGAGTCGAAACTTAGCGATTAGTTGGTTCAAACTCTTCTACCCATCTCAGTGGAAAGTCTAGTCTGTACAAAATTTTTCAGTTCTCAAGTGATAAAGAGGAAGGAAAGAATGCAATGATCAGAGCCTCAGCTGGGGCTTAACCAAGATTACTTTGAATTCCAAGCTCATGACCCAGAAATGCCTTATTTGTGGTGTTTAAACACGTCCTATGTAACACTGCCTTGGGAAGCCTCTTGATAGAGTAAAATGTGTACGTTTTGAATCCCACTTCTACCACCAACTAGCTGTGGGAACACATGACCTAGGCCCACTGTGAGACTTGCATGGAGCTAATGTACAGACAGCAGCTGGCACAAAATGGGACAAACCAAGTGTCATTTCCCCTTCCCCTGTCCTCCGGCGCTTCCCCTTTAGACTTGGGGCTGAAATATCTCTAGCACACAATTTAACAAGGAGTGCCTGCCTTCCCACACTGCTTTCTGTTTCAGAGGGTCAGAGTCCCTTTTGTTGACAGGACTCAAACCTTTCGGGGGGAAAAAATTTGCTTAAATTGAAAAGTCATTTTTGTGTTGCATTTACGACCCTAGAGCATCAAGGTTATAAGCATAGGCTCTTGAATCACACAGAGGCTCCGTCACTTCCTGTGTGTGTAGTTGTGTAACCTCCTTGTGTCTCCGTTTCCTTCTCCACACAATGGAGGTAATAACAGTACCAACCTCAGGGGGCTGCCGTGGGGATTAGATGAGGGAATGTGTGTCACTCTGTAAGCATGTCATACGGGTTTGCCGGAGCCTTGTTGGATCCTTCAATCTAAGATAGGCTGGGACCTAGGACCTGCTACCAGAGCGACACAGTACAAAGAAACTATAAGGGACTAAAAATAACTATATACATGCACAGTTGGGGCAATTATGAAGAATAAGACATAAAAAGGCCATAAACCTACTGCTATTTCTGAGGTGCTAGGAGAAAAACAGGGTGAGCCCTGTGCATGACTCCTGCACACAGCCCCACCGAGGGGCTGGGCAGACCACCTAAGCTACCCCTCTGGCCCGACCTACCAATCCGCCCCTACCATCACCCCATGTAAGGGACCAGCCCACCTTCCTAGGAGAGCGAGCAAGGGAACCCATTATTTGTTTTTGCTCCCAATAAAGCCTTGCCTGAATTCCTCGTCTGGCTTCTTATCAATTTCTATGGATTAAAGAGTCCAAGGACCCGAACTGGTAACAAATCTCTTCCACAGTGTTTTTCAAGAGTGTTCAGTGTGGGTTAGACAAAACATTTTCTCTCCTTCTTTTAAGGATAAGGACAATTGGGCAAATGACAGCACAGCAGGGCAGCATAGCAGACAGTTGGAGAGAACTCAGGACTGCAGGCGGGATACTGGGTTCAAGTCCTGGCTCTGCCACCAGTGCCCACGTGTCCTTCTATTCTCTGGGCTTCAATTCTCTGCTAATCACGGCTATTCAAATGTCTTCTTGGAAGCCTTAAGTGACCAAGACTAGCAGGAAACAACAATTTGGTAAAGGTTTAGAATTCTGTAATTTGGGCTCGAGAATGAAGAACTCTTTCAAGATCTTCTCCCAGAACAAGAAGAGTCAGTTAGGAAGGAACAGCAGCATTTTCCTTGGGCAAACTTGAGGAGTCCCCTGCTTGTCCTCCTCACCCTTCACCCCCTCCTCTGTTCCTCCTTGGACACAATGTGACTTCCATCCTCCACTTTGCCCCCAGATACCACCATAAACAAGTTCTCAGATCCTTTTCCACCATCTGAAAGAAATGCACTCAGCAAACATGCACATTTACCTTGTCAGCCCCACGAGGGCAGGGACCGTGCCTCAGTCCACTGCTCTGTGTATGGACTGAGACACAGAGCAGTGGACTGAGGCACGGTCCCTGCCCTCCTGGGGCTGACGTACTATAGGGGCAGACAGAGGCAAGCAAAGTAAACAAGTAAAATATACAGTGGAGCAGGTGGAGCCGGCCGAGAGCTGGATTTAACTGGGCTGGAGTTTTGCCAAGTGAGTACAATCTAGAAAGCTTGAGGTACGGGAGGGGAGGCTGTAGACAAGAGAGAGTTGTAATCACTAACGATGGAGTTGAGTCAGGGAAAGGAGGGGAGAAGGGATTTGAAGGGGACAGTGAAAGGTAGTGAGATCAGTGGACTATGGGGCCCATGGGAGTAAAGGCTTGAAGAGAAGAGCTAGAAAGAGCTTTGAACATGGGATCTTCAGAGGGCCTAGGGCTTGAGTGTGGGGCTGAGTAGTGAGCCAGGGAAGATAAGATCACTGGGGGAGAGGAGGCCATGGAGCAGGGAGGCCAAAGCATCGGTGGATTGGGCAAATGGATGGTGAAAGCACTGAGCGTAGTGGCAGGATGAGTGGGACAGAGGACAGTGAGGTGGGAGTGAAACTGTGTGGGACACTTTAGGACCTCTCGGGTGTACAAGCCACCCCTCCCATGTTCCCCATCTCTTGAGGTAAAAGGCTTTGCTTCAGGCCCCCCCTCAGTTTCAAAAGTCTGGCTCAAGAGTTAAATATTAGGAAATTCGAACACACAGAAACAAAGAATAGCTGTTGGGCTAAACATAACAATTTAGACTATAAATCAGTTACATAGCAGAGTCACTGAATTCCCAGTTCCCTGAAAGATATAGATAACGAGGTCTGACACACATTCCTAAACTGTTTTTACACAAACCAGACTTCTCCTGCTTCCAACCAGGAAAACTGCTGTCCACAAGCACATAGACCCCCCGGCCGGTTGGGACCAGAAGGTTGATGATGTTGATTCCCAAAACCTCACCCTGTTACCTCACTACCAACCAGCCAGAAGAATGCAACCCACAGCACTAATACTGCCTTTTAAAACCCTTCCCTGAAAGCCACTGGGGAGTTTGGGTCTTTTGAGCATGAGCTGCCCGCTCTCCTTGCTCAATGCCTTCAATAAACACTGTACTTTTCTTCACCACAACCTGGGGTCAGTAGATTGGCTTTGCTGTGTGTCAGGCAAGCGGATCCAAATCCAGTTTCTGTAACAGGAGATAGGACCTTCAGATAATTAGTAAATAGTGACAGTGGTGAGAGGAGGAGTTTGTAAAGTCATATTTAATAGTGTGATTTAATGTTACATTTGAGTAAAACCTCTTTTGTTTTATTGTAAGAACTATAGAGAAGGAGAAAGCTGTTCATGGCATGAAAAGCAGGACTGAGCATTAAAAAGTTGACAAAAGACCTGGGAGTATCTCATTTCATGAAGGATCAAAGCTGTCAGCCTAAGGGATATAGCTCTACTTGTGCAATCATAAGCAGCCCTAAACTGGTGGGAAGGTATTTAGATTTTTATGGGTGAAGGGCCTTCCTTTTTGTTTGTTATTTTATTTTATTTTCTAAAATGAGCACGTTATTTTTTTTTTTAATTTTTTTTGGGGGGCCATGCTGCACAACTTGTGGGATCTTAGTTCCCCAACCAGGGATCGAACCCACGCCCTGGGCAATGAAAGCGTGAAGTCCTAACCACTGGACCACCAGGGAATTCCCCCAAGGACCTTCCTGTCATCCCTAAAATACCAAGCAGAGAGCCACCATTTCAACAGAGGCTTGAAAGAATAGAATGATAATTCATTAGTGTCATATACTAAAAGCCATTGACTGAGAGCCAGTGGTATAGAAAAGTTAAGAAAGTGGACTCCGCTTGGGTTTAAATCCCGGCTCTGCTACTTACCACTCATTTAACCTCATCTGTATGAGGGGGATAATAATGTCTCAGCTTCTGAAAAGTAAATGAGCTGAGAGGTTGCCTGGAGTGTGTGAGGACTCAAAAAATGTTGGTTAGATATTCTGATCTTTCTAATCTTTGTTGGCAAATAAACAAGAAAATAAGGCTTTGAAGGCCCTGGCCATTAGTTCTGTGTAGGGAAAAACAGCCAGAGAGTAAGGCTGAGACAAGGGTCCTACCTCAGCTAATTGCATTTCAACAGCCCCTGGGAGGCAGTGTGGCCCAGGGGTAGTGAATCTGTGCTGGGAGTCAGAAGCCCTGGGTTTCCGTTCCTCCTCAGCCTGAGGCCAAGATCAAGTATGGCCAAGGGCAAGACAGGGTGTCTCTGACCCTCAGCTTACCCACCTGTAAAATGGGGATGATCATTCTGCCAGGCCCACACACAAGGTCGTTTTGAAGACCAAATGAGAAAATGTTCCATGAAGGTTAATGGTAACTCAGTTCACCTGTGTTGAGTGCCCACCTACTGTGTGCTGAGCACAGGAGAATGAAATTAGGCCTGCTCTCTCCCTAAACAAGTGCCCAGAAGACAGGACATGTACCCAGACAGCCACAGTCTATGGGTGAAAGTGCTAAGGGAGTCTGATTACGGAAGGAAGAAGTATCTTTATGGTTGAGTCTTATGAGGAGATTCAGGGAGGATGTACTGAATGGTGCCCAGTGCACTCAGCAGCTCCCCTTCTAGAGCCTCATCCAGCAGATGTACCTGCTCATGCCAGACGACCTGAGGTCAAGGCTGTTCACTGTAGCATGCTGTATAGCTGCATAAGTTCAGAGCCCCCTAAAACACCCACCAAAGAGAGAATATGTGGGCTCTATAGCAGAATAAGGAAAAGTTCTTTGTGAACCGACATGTCAATTTGGGCTTCCTTCCCCTTCCTCCGGATGCTCTCAGACCCTGAACTTGTGTCTACCATAGTCATTTTCATGGGCTCCTTGAATTAGAAGTGTCCTTGATAACAAGGAAAGCTATGACCTGCAAGTGCGTGAACATAGGCCCCACTGGGCCCCAAGCCCCAGAGAAGGGTTACTGTCCTCTTTCTATAAAGAAAATGAGGCCCAGGTTTGCCAGGGCAGCACAGCCAATAGATGCTGGGCTGGGATTTGTCCTACAACTGACTTCCTGGTTGTTTTATGTATCTGTTGCTCCGCCCCCTTTGAGACTATTCATTCTGTAAGGGCTGCGGTCAGTTTTCTTATCCTCTCCTTCAGGGCCAGGCAAAGTCCACCCCCTTAGGAAATATTAATTCTTGAGATAGGGATGGTCCTAAGAAGGAGATGCCGGGGTAGGACCGTCCCTAAGGAATCTGTGTGTGTGTGGTGGGGGGGGTGGTGGAGTGTAGGGGTGAACAAGTTGGTTCCGGGTTGGTTCAGAGGGAAGGGGGGAAGCTGAGCATTACCATCTGAGAGAAAAGGTGTGGTGGTGAAACAAGACAGGACAGATACAGTTCCCATCTTGGGAACTTGGGGAATTAAGGGAATTTGCCGGAAGTGGACAGGTGGTGGGCCAGAGGGGAGCAAAAACCATCTTCCATTTTCATCTAAACGTCTCAGAAGGTCCCTATGTAAGAAACCTACATATAGACTCCCTCAGGTACAGACACACTTTACCATCTCTGTACAAAGCTATTCATTGCAGAATTGACTGTAAAACAATGGAGCCAACTCAATGTCTATCAATAAGGAACTGGTTAAATAGTCAGATTTCCATATGATGGAACACTCTCCAGTCCAAGAAAGGAGGAGGAAGTCCTTACCGCTCTGATATAGGACAATTGCCAAAATATATTTTAAGTAAAAAAATTCGAAGTGCATAATCAGGGAAATAAAAAATTTAAACCACAATGAGTTATGATCCCACATGTATCAGCCTGTAACATTTTAAAAACTGATAATTCCAAGCATCGGCGAGGGAGTGAAGCAAAGGGAACTCTCAAAGAGCTGGCAAGTATGTGAACTGACACAACCACTCTGGGAAACAGTTTGCCCTTATCAACTGAAGTTGACAATAATGTGTGTTCCCTAGGCCCCTGCAAATGCCCCACGGAAATCCTTACCCCAACCAACTCCCCAAACATACATACACACCAGGAGAAACAATTAAGAACATTCACACAAGCACTGATCCTAGCAGCAAAAAATTGGAAGCAACCCAAATGTCCTCAAATAGTGCAATGAAAACTTAATTGTGGTGTCTTCATACGATGGAATTCCATACCAGAGTGAAAATGATTGGCATCACTCAACTGAACCTCAAGACCCTTAATCTAATCGTGGCTGAGATACAAGCAAGCTGTAGAAGACTGCAGGCAGTACACTTCCTTCTCTTCAAAATCCAAAAAGGTGAGACACTACCCCATACATATTGTATGGTGACGTGAACATATGGCAGGACTATAAAGGAAAAAAGGGCATGATAAGCATCACGTTTAGGACAGTATTTAGGGGAAGAAAAGGTGAGGCTGGGAAGGCCCACAAAGAGGATTTTAAAGGCCCTGTTTCTTTGTCTAGGAGAGGTGGTAGGGACCAGGTGGCTTATTGTATCATGGTTTTTTTTTTTTTAATAGGTATATATTGTATAACTACTATCTTTATAACTAATCAATATTTAATAAAAACAATTTAAAAAAAATGAGGGCTAGGGCTTCCCTGGTGGCGCAGTGGTTGAGAGTCCGCCTGCCGATGCAGGGGACACGGGTTCGTGCCCTGGTCTGGAAAGATTCCACATGCCGCGGAGCGGCTGGGCCCATGAGCCATGGCCGCTCAGCCTGCGCGTCCGGAGCCTGTGCTCCGCAATGGGAGAGGGCACAACAGTGAGAGGCCCGCGTACCGCAAAAAAAAAAAAAAAAAAATGAGGGCTAGACCAATGTGAACAGTGTGCTACCATTTGTATAAAAAAAGGGACACATACACCCATAGACACACATGTGCGCATGTGTACATATACGCTGATATTAAACTACCTCTGGAAAGTTACATATGCAACTGGAAAAATCGGTTGCCTCTGGGAGGGGAACTAGGAGGCTGGGGACAAGGAGGGAGACTTCCCTGAATATTTAAATTTTCTAAATCACTTAAATCAATTGGAGTTAAAAATAATAAAGAATAATAAAATTTGAAGAGAGACTGAGAGAGGGAGACACAGAGGGGAGGGAGAAAGGGAAGGGAGGGTGTGAGGAAGGGAGGAGGGAGGGACAGGGGCAGGAGGAGGGGGAATGGCGGGGCTCTGGCTGCCAAAACCTTCCAAAACATTGGGAATGTGTCCAAAATCATAAGTGGACCCAGAAGCCCCACTGGACAGCCCAGGGAAGCCTGTGTCCTCATCCCACAGCTTGGCCTAGACCCCAACACATTCTTGCACCTAAGGACAGGGCTGGCTTCACACGATTGCCCACATCAATTCGGGCTCCCCAATCTTTTGTTTCCAGAGTTTTGTTCCCAAACAAGACTCCCTCTCTGGGTCTCTTCCCCTGACCCTATGGTCTTATCTCAGACCTTCGCCCACCTGTGATCTGAACAATTCCTCTGAAGTCGATTTAGTGAGCCGTCATCCTTGATGGCTCTGAAATGTGTGTCTGTGTCACCAAGGTCAGCCAAAAGCAAATAGGCCCTTTTCATCCCCTCTTTAATCCTCCCCTCAAGGACCCGGTGTCCTTTGCTCTACTGCCTCATCAAGACCTGCTTGCACATTCTTTATCACGCTGGGATAACAATAATTCAAAGGAAACCAGGGCCACAGGCATGTCCCCAAGGATCATGGCCTTGAGAGGTAAAGGCATGAAGTGCTAACGGAATTTCAGATACCAGCCAGTGGGCGAGGAAGGATTTGGACACAATGTGCAGGGGGTGCCTTCTGCCCTGCTTGTACCCAGGATGCCAGAGGAGTGAAGTATTGGCAGTGTGGGTCTGTATGAGAAAGGAAGCCCCTGAAGCTGGGCTCAGTCCCCCAGAGTCCAATGGCCAGGGGTGAGGAGGAGGGGGCCAGGGAGGATTGTGTTACTTTGAACTAAGAAGTTCTTTATTCCCCAAAGAGCCAAAGCAGGATCTGGGTGGCACCATAGTAGAGAGGTAGGTGCTAAGAGAAGGCTGAGCCACACAGGACAGGATCAGTTCTCCCACCTCACCCATCCCCTCAATGGGGGGTTCCCTAGTTGAAAACACCTTGGCAGTTCATAACTCTCCCTTGGGAGCAAGGTAGTGTTGTACAGGAAGAAAGAAGCCTTGCTGTATGATGGCTCTTAGCGGAAGTCGTTCAACAAGCAGGTCTAGAGCAAACGTCATGGGCTGACAATACTAAGTGCTGGCAAGGATGTGGAACACCTGGACTGCCATACACGGCTACAAGAGTGTAAATCATCCAACCAATGGAAAACTGTTTGGTAGAACTACTAAAGCTAAACACACACCTAACCAGTGACCTAGCAATTCCACTCCTGGGGATTTTCTGAAGAGAAATGAGCATTGTGTCCACCAAATGACATGTACAAGAATGTTCATAGCAGTGTTACTATGGCAGCTCAACATGGAAACAACCTAATGTCCACCAGCAGGAGAATAAACACACTATGGTATATTTGTACAATAGAATACTACTCAAAACAAGCTACAGCTATGTGCATAACAGGAATGGAGCCCAGAGACATGATATTGAATGAGAGAAGCCAGACAAAAACGTACACACACTGTCTGATTCCATTCATATGAAGTTCAAGAACAGGCAACATGGATCTATGGTCATAGAATCCTGGATAGTAGTTACCCTTGGGGGATGGGGGGAGTAGACATTGACTAGGATGGAACATGAGGAACTTTCTGGGGCACTGGAAATGTTCTGTATTTTGATCTGGGTGGTGGTTTCATGGATGGTTACAAATGTAAAATTTCACAGAGATTCAAGGTTGTGTATCTTAATTACTGTATGTAAAGTTATATCAAAAACAACAAAATTTGTTTCTTGGTCTAAAGCTCTGTTGCTCTGGCCCCCTGACGGGCCTACTCAGCAGCTGGTTTTGCATTCAGAAGAGTGTTGTGTCCACCTTGGAATGACCTTTCATGCCAGGTGCTGGTGCTGTACCAGAGGGCAGAGAGCAAGAACTTCTCAAGCTGAAGAAGAATGTATATGGCCTCTTGGGGGCCATCTCGCTCACAGGTGTTTGAACATGGGGTGGAATTTGGTCCAAGACTTACTTCCATGGAAATGTACCCCCAATAGCAAAAGTTCTTAGGATGGAGAACTATAGCTCTTATTCAATTTCAACTGTTAGAGTCTACCAATATCTTAGCAAAATGACGGGAACAAGCAAACAATAACAGGCAATGGTTGGCACAGGCCAGTTCATGATACTTAGCAAGTGAGGAAAAGTTAAACTTGGGCAAAAGAGCTGTTGGGCCTTGTGTTCCAGTCATGCTGAGAACTTCTGCAGTGACTGCAGACTGCTATCAGCTGATTTCCCAGCAACCCAGTACAAGAAACTAAAATACATGCATGCTCTACCTAGAAAAAATGAGACAGTAAGGAATTACATTAAAATAGTGGAAATGGTTATTTCTAAGTGGTTAAAATAGTCTTACTTTCTCCTTTGCACATAAAAAATTTTCTTTTCCCAAATTAGATAGCAAATAACAAATTTTATATTCTTTTGTGACCAGCTCAGATAAAATCCTTCGGCAGTCTTCTGGACTGTGAAGCTGGGGTGGGTGGGGAGGCCCTCCTCTGGACCCCTATGCATCCTGCATTCTTGCCCACCAGGAACCATCAACATTTCATCCCCCCAACTATCTTTATGGCCCCAAAAGAGGCCAATACAAAGCAGAAAGAAAGAGGAAGGAACTCAGACACTGCTTCAGAAATGAGGGGAGTTAGACTGAAACCCTCCACTTCCAACCAGCCTTACAGGTGCCATGCAAAGGACACACAGTGTTCTTTGAAATAACAACACAACAACCCTTCTGAAGTTTGGGGACAATTAGCTTTTTCTACTCCATGTAGCCTGTGAGTCCTAGCCCTCTTAAGAATATTAAAATTGTAGAGAATACTAACATATATGTAATTATATTGCAATATATATAATATAGCATGCAAAATATAAGTAAATACAAATACATCTTTATCTTTTTCTTTCCACCCTTTAAGGGAAAGGACAAGCAGAAGGGAACCCCCAAGTGTCAAGGTCAAGTCAGAGTTCCTCTCCAGCTCTGGCTCAGACACACACCTCCCTGGCCCCTCTTCTCCACCTCACAGTCAGGCAGAAACTTCTTCCCCATCTTTTGAAGAAACTATTTTCCTCCTTCAAAGACCTCCCTCCTTTCTTCCTGGTAAAGGCCAAACTGTCTGCAGTTGGCAGGACCAGATGTTCACACTCCTTGCCCTACAGATACCGTGGAGAGCCTGCAGAGCCAGGGGCAGACAAGGCTCCCATACTCAATCTCCCTTCAGCACCTGTCCCAGAGCCTAGCAGTCCTACCATTCACCCCCTCTTCTCTCAAAGCTCACAGCCTGGCCAGGTCAGAAGAGTCTATCTGAAAAGCAAATTCACACTCAAGTGTTAATAGCAACTATTACATTAATGAAAGTGGTCAAGCTGACCAGGGTTTTGGCAAATGCTTTTTTTTTTTTTTTTTTTTTTTTGTGGTATGCGGGCCTCTCACTGTTGCGGCCTCTCCCGTTGCAGAGCACAGGCTCCGGACGCCCAGGCTCAGCGGCCATGGCTCCCGGGCCCAGCTGCTCTGCGGCATGTGGGATCCCCCCGGACCGGGGCACAAACCCGTGTCCCCTGCATCGGCAGGCGGACTCTCAACCACTGCGCCACCAGGGAAGCCCCTGGCAAATGCTTTTAATGATATTTTTTAACTTGCTAGGAAAGTGAGATTTTCTTTTCCTGGTCAGAGTGCCTCTACATGCTCCAGTATCATATTTCAGAATTGAGGCCATGAATTTTAATAACAGCAGTGATAAAATTAATTAAGGAAACGTCTACTCACTTCTAGGGCTCTGAAAATGTGCGTATGGAGAGAGTAGAAAGTGCTGGGTTCTGGATTCTGATCCAGCACTGCCTCTTCCTGCTCTGTGATGCTGAGCACACCTGACCTGCCACTCTGTGTGAAATGAGTTGGTGGGGGGGTGGGTTGGTGGCTAGATGATCCTTAGGGTTTGACATTGTGTCAGGCCCTCCCTGGGGACCAGATAACCTCTGAAGGTGCTGTCTCCATCCTCTGTCCCCCAGCCCCATCCTCTAAACATAAGGGGCTTTCCTCAGCACTGCCCTTGCCCCTCTCTCCCCTTGGCCATTCTCCTAACTACACTGATGGGCTTCAGTGGCTCCACATTTCTGTCATCTGCTCCT